GAGAGAGAGAGAGATGGCCGAGGAGATGCTTACGGGGAACTGATGCGCTTCTCTGAGATGGGGAGTCTCCCACTCGCGCTTGTAGGCCTCCTTTGAGGTTGCGGTCATGATGGGTATTGTATTTTTCTCTTCCTCTTCTTCTGGTTCTGGTTCTGGTTCTGGTTCTGTGGCTTCTAGAGAGGGTGATGGATATTCGGAAGAAGGTGTGATTGATCTTCCCAGATGCCGAATGGGACACGGCAGAACGTCGTGCCGCAGGTCCCGTACGGTAGGGTCCGTACCGTCCGTGGTGAGCGGGTGGTGGCTTGACTGGGAGTCCACACAGGTGGTGAGAACAAGAAGTTTTAGTTCCCACCGCCACAGCCGGAGCGGGAGCGGGAGCGAGACCCAGACCCAAGAAGGGACGGGCCGCGGCAATGATACGGTCGGTAAATAAATAAATCAATAGGGACGGATTAGACGTGGTTGTACTACGTAGTAGACGTAGTAGCACCAGTGTACTGCACAACCAAGTACAACCGCATGTCACAGAGGCGAAACACGTCCCGGTTACCTGGAATTACACTGCATACGGAGCGCATCTCGGAGCTGAAGGGATAAAAGCGTGGTATGGGATGGGGACTTGGGGATATGGGTTGGGCTGGGCGGGACTGGGGCGGGACTGGGCTGCTGGGCTGGGCTGGGCTGGGCTGGGCTGGGCTGGGGACCAGGAAGCCGGGAGACAGCTGCGGTGGAGGGGTGCACGGCGTTGGTGGAGGTGGAGGTGGAGGTGACGGTACGGGAGTGTCGGTGGCGTCTCGCTGGGGGATCTCGCTCGCGAGGAAGTTCGAGAAGCCGTGGACGAGGATAGAAATCATGTGAACGTGATGGAAGCAAACCGAAGCCCGGAAAAGGAAGAGGAGGCAAGTAGGTAAATGAAGCTTTTCGGATGGACCATGGCGAGAATACTTACTACCTTACATACTATACAATACCGCATGCGAAAGGGTGGGGACCGATGCGACGTAGCAATGCAACGTAATCTCGTTTCTTTTCTTTTTCTTTTTCGTTTCTTTTTCTTTTTCTTTTTCTTTTCTTTGGTGGTTGGGGTCTTGTTCACGGGTATTACTTTTCTTCCTTCTGACGTGATTTCATCTCCTGCCGTCGTTTCCGGTTTGTCTTTCTTGTAACCTGTTCGGTCGGCAGTCGGCAGTCGGCAGTCGGCAGTCGGCAGTCGGTCGGCGGGCCCGAGGTTTGCAGTCACCTGACATCACATCACACCACACCACACCACACCACACCGCACCGCACCGCAGCACACCGCGCAGCACACCGCACACCACACCGCACCAGCACCGAGCGCGAGGAGAGGGGAGTATCAACACCCACCTGCATATTGATTTTTCGCTAGACTTTCATCCATTATCTTGCTCATTCGCTATCCTGCAGCGCGTGATCTGCCTTGTCCCGATGCGGATCCCAGCCAGGCTCACCACCTACGGTACAACACGGAGTGGTAGGTAGGTAGGTAGTTGTACCTAGGTCCTCTAGCTGCCGTACCGTCCCGGGCCCTACCTGTGCCGGCCATCTCCTACCGTACTCCCTCCCTCCCATCATGCCGCTGCCCGCAAAGGTCCTCGGCGCCAAAAAATAACCCTCTATCCCCACACCTCGACCTCTCCACCTCGACCTCCACCTCGACCTCGACCTCGACCTCGACCTCGACCTCGACCTCGACCTCGACCTCGACCTCGACCTCAACCTCCCACCGCCCATCTCCCACGCACTGCACTGCACTGCACTGCAAGCATGCAAGCAGGCAAACCACAGATCCTGCCCTCCCCTGACCTCCCTGGTCCCTGATCCTCCCTGATCCTCCACCCCGGCCGCCCAACTGATTTGGCATCTCAATACTTAGTAGTACCTACTACGGACGTACGACTAGTACCTACTGACAGGTCCCCCAGTCCAGTCCACCCAAGCCCACCACCCCTGGACCCCCCGCGGGCAGACCACTGACAGCCCAAAAGCGACTGCACTGAGCGGATACGGACACCGACACGGACAGTAAGGAAGGTCTCCCCCCTCTCCCCCCCTAGCTGTGAACTCGCAAGCAGCTCCGAGACAAGTAAACAAGCCACACTGCCCATCGAACTGCGCAGAGGCGTCGCGAAATTAAGCCTGCCTTGCCTGCCTCCTCCTCCCTTGGAACCTGGGCCCGCAGAGCCGAGCGCAAACATAAGAAGGGAGGGACTACCTGCCTGCCTCGGTACCTACCGTAAGGTCCCGTACCTAGGTCCCTCCGTACTCTGTCGTCTGTAGGTAGGTACCCTACTACTACTACGTAGCACTACCAGGACTTCCTTACAAGGTGCGTCCGCCCAGCAGCAGCGCAGGGATTTCATTCTCCGATAGGTACAGTATCCTCAAGCATCAGCCCTGTACCCCGGCTGCCAATCGTTGATCCCCTCCCGACTTGGAATAAGCGTGTTACCCGACGATTCTGCACCACGGTCCACTGCCACTACCACTACCACTACCACCACCACCACCACCATCACGGCGACGGCGACGACCACCACCACCACCACCACCACCACCACCACCACCACCACGTCGACTGTGAGATTACCGGTACACCAATATAGTGAGTGGTACCTCCGTCACCCTCCATCCAGACGGACGGGTCCTCCCAACGCCCGGATATCACGCTATACAGCCATACAAGCTATAAAGCGGCGCCACTGGAAGCCGCATCGATTTCGACGAGACGCGTGAATGCCCGGGAACCATCGCTCACGGAACCGTCCCTCTCCCAGTGGAGGGCGCAGGATCTTTTTAGAGATACCCAAGGCAGCGCTCTCACCATGGAGACCACATTCATGACCATCCACAGTCAGTACGACCGATCTACTATACTCCCTCTACCCGCTTTCCCCGTGACACGATGAGGCGGCGCCTGCTGACACGATCCCATCCCGGAGACCTGTCGCCCGAGGCGATTATCATGTTCGCCTCCGAGTCGATCGTTGACATCTTGGGCTTCGCCCCCGAAGAGGTGATTGGCAGATCGTGGTTCGACTACTTCCACCCCGATGACCTCTTCACCGCCCGACATTTTCACCATGAGAAGATCAAGATGGACCGCGCCTCCGTCCTCCACTATCCGCGCATCGGGAACCGAGATGGGTACTGGGTCTCGTGTGAATGCGTCTTCACCGTCGTCTACGACGTCCTGGTCTCGTGTACGAGTATCTACCGGGGACCCGACGACGCCAGGAACACGCGTAAGAGCCCTCTCCATCCTCGCTTCGTGACCCGGCGCAAGGCTGAGATGAGACAGGTCGAGCCGAAATTGCGCCCCAGATCGAACGGATTTTCGCCTCGTCTCCCCGAGATCCCCGGTATCACATGCTGGAACACCTGTCGTCCAAGTTCCGGGCTCCGCCCCAGCCGTCTTTCTTCGAACCCCGCGCAGCGCTGATCTTGAACCGTTTCACGCGGACCCTCACGGTCATGTACGCGACCAATGCGGTGAGCAGCATCCTCGGGGTGACGCCGGAGCAGTTCAAGGACAAGAGCTTCTACGAGTGCATGCAAGAGAACTGTCTCCCGGCCGCCATTCGCGCCTTGGAGAGTGCGAAGGCCAACGATTCCATCGCCTATCTCCGCTTCTGGCGCCGCGATCCGCGTCGGGCGGAAGATTTGGACGACGACATGCGGGACGCGAGCCAGAGTAGCGATTCGGAGGATGGGGGCGTGGTTCTGAATGGCTATCACGCCGACGGCGACCCGAAGCATCCCCCGCCCGACGGGGAGGCGTCGACCGCGGTGGCGCCTGGCCCCCCCGGCAAGGGGGAGCGGACCGACCCGGAGGAGACGGCGGCGGCCCGTCGGGTCTTGGTCCCGAGCCCCGAGTCGCGCTCCTCCACCTCCTCGTCGCTGGTGCTGCTGCCGCAGCCGGAACGCGTGCGGCGGAGAGCACCACGTGCCCCGAGGGTGCCCTCTCCGGCCCCGGAGCCGTACCAGGTCGAAGCGGTGGTGTCGTGCACCTCGGACGGCTTGGTGGTGGTCCTACGCCGGGCGCGACCCCTCGCACGATCCATGCAGCAGCCGGCGCAGGCTCCACGGTACGAGAATGGCTTGTTCGCCGCCCCGTGGGGAGCCAACCCGATCCGGCCTCACCTCTATCAACCCGACCCCCGATATCCCTTCCAGCACGGGCTGCACGCGCCTCTGCTGCCCGCGGGCGGCCCCCCGGTCGACGAATTCATGAACTCGATTCGGGAGGTGGCTGTGTTCGCGTGGTCCTTGACGGGGATCAACGGGAATATGGCCGCCTACGGGCATGGCATCCCCCGCGGGGAGGCCCAGCCGCCCGGCGGTCTTCCCATCTGGGACCCGTACCACGCACAGCCCAGTGCCGGCTTCCTGCCCCCGGAGAACCAAGCAGCCCAGAGATGGGCGCGAGCCGCCGAAGCGAGGGCCAACGAGCGTGGGAACGCCCACCACGGTCCGGCCCCGCACCACCGGCCGGAGGAATCTTCTCGTCGTCGTGGTCCCCCGGTGGATGCGACGAGGCAGGCCCAGCTGGCAGCCCCGAGTCATGCGCCCTCCTCCGCTTATCCCTACGATCCTGAGCCCGGCCCCCAACCACGTTGGTTGCCCGCTGCGGACCCTCTCCCCGCGGCCGAGGCGCACCCCCCCCCGACCCGGCCGAGAAGTCCGCGCGGCCAAAATGTTGGCCATGT